CCTATATCAGTCATATCGAATTTTATTTTACAGCAATAATTTTCAATCCTTCAGTATAGAAATTAGTTAACTTCAACCCCGTGATGTTGCCGCAACATACGCAAAATATGCTTTTCTAGAGAACCTAATACCTTGGTTGCCATGGGAGACTGAAAATGCGAAAAAGTGGTAACAGATAAAAAATGTTTTTGAGTGAGATTAGAATAGCAACTTTAATACGTCGAATGCCATGGGGGTCACCAGTGACCAGCACTGAGTTTGTTCGTAGCGCCACCCGGCGAAGCCAAGATTATTAGAAACACATAATTCGAGTAAATTTTTAATTTTTTTACATTATATTATCGTTACTAAAATGGTTTGAAGTAATTAACGCAATATAGAACACACAAAAATAGTTTTATTTATATACAGATGCCAACTTGCACCGGACAGCGATGAAATATCTTCAAGTGGTAGTTTATTAATTGTGATTCTTGGTTTGATAAATTCAATTTAGTAGATTTTTATCCAACACTATTTCTAAACAATTCGTAGGCTTATACAATTCACCACTTTTTTCAAATAAGTAATGCTAGACCTTTTAAAAAACTAGCAAAATCTGTCTAATATTTGCAAATTTCAAGAATTCAAATTATTATATGAAATGCAACTGTATTACAGTTTCTCATGGTAACACTTTTAAGATCGCGCTTTATTATCCATTTTATACAATTGTAAAAGGTAGAGAATTTGGCATTCTTGGTTTACTATTGTATGCAATTGTATGCCGTTGATTTAGATACGAATAATTTGAGACGTAAGTCATAGTGGTAGTTACGAGTGAATAATTAAAGAGTTAATAAATAAATTATAATGAATTGAGTTTCCACCACTTTTTACATTTTAAGTTGCCAATGGCATTCCTGTATGACACAAAAACTTAAGAAGCTAGAGGAAAACAACTGAACTATCGTTTCAAACAAATTATTCCAAAATATTTTTTTAATGACGTAAGAATAAGACAAAAAATATTAGTAACGAGATGAAGTTTCGTGTTAGAAAAAACGAAATGTTATAAGAGTGCGGAATGAAATTCGATGTAATGTGACTTATAAAATTTATCCAGCAGAAAAATCACTTTTGATCATCAAAGTCATTAAAAATTGTTTGTTTATGGAATGCTTGTTGTTTTTTAATAATTTCATTTAGCACGTTCACGCCGGGGTGACCCACCGGTGGGTCACGCTAGATTTACTCATCTTGGCAGCGCACCGGAGTAAAAACTGGTAACAATAAATTTCATTTTTTAATTTTTTTCCGGGAATAATAAAGATCCATAACTACCAATTGTTTTTAACGGATGCAATTTTTATATTGAATTGCTTTTTCGCCGTGATAAATTTCCTTACAGTGAATTGTTATTGTTGAGAATCGATTAACTCCTCCCGAATATTATCTAATATTGAAATAGTTCTTCTACCAGTATTTTCTCTTTTCCCCGGCGTGAACGTGTTAAAGTGAAAAGTGTTTCAGTAAAGTTTATAGATGCGGAGTTAAGGATGTTAAATATTCAACGCATATTGAACTTATTAGAGTCGAATACCTCTATGTAAGTTGTCAACGAGTTACAAAGAAAATGCAAGTAAATGCAGGATGTACTTATGCAGGATGTCTAATAGCTGCCATGAAGATGTGTTATTATCTTCGGTTCGTGGTTCACAATGGTTTTAAAATGAAGTTGCGTGATTAATTTCATTCTTGATTTCAAGGACTACGTAAACGTTTCAAACATGCTATTTTCCAAAGAAAAAATGCGCATTTGTTAGATTCTTTAACTATATAATCTTTTAAGGGTAAAAAAAGTTAAGAGTAGCTTGCTTGTTTCTTTTATATTATACTTGTCAAAAGCACTGCGTTTGGGAAAGATAAAAATATAAAAAGAACATAAAATTTTATTTAGTCCCCTTTATTATTTGACTGAAATTGTATGTTTTTATCAATTATTATGTTTTTATCAATTAGTTAAAAGAAATATCGAATTTTAAGAAAATCGTGTGCTTAAAATTCAATTTCTCAGAAACTATTCAACCAATTTCTCCCAAATTTTCCATTTTACCATGTAAAATTGCATACTTTAAAATGACGTAAAATTACCTTTTTCAACTATTATTAAATAAAATAATAAGAAATAAGAAATATTTACTAAAAATTTTTTTTGTCTGGGGTTATTTTTGGTAAAACGAATTTTATAATTGTATGCAAAAATTTTTCAATTCGCTCAAAAAGTTCTCGAGATATGGCGAAATACGCAAAAATTAAAATTAACATTAAGGTGTCCAAACTTTTTACCTCTCTCCTAACCAGACCAAACTATTGGGACCATTCTCAGATTGCGGCTACCCCCTATATTTTGGGGGTCAGAAATCCCAATCCGTCGAAGTCCAGATGAATACCAATTTTTAGTGCAACATGGCTCGGAATTTTTACAGTGTATATTGTTTGATTCAAACTTTCGCCACATTTTTAAGTGAATTAAAAACTTTTTGCACTCAATTATAAAATTCGTTTATCCAAAGATAATTCCATACGAAATATACTTTTTAGTACACATATTTTATTTTTTGTAATATTATTTAATATTATAATACATAAAATATAAGGTTTCACATCACTTCAAATAATGCAAATTTTTAATAGCGAATTACAAAATATGAGCGAAATCGATCGAATAGTTTCTGAGGAATCGACTTTTGAAAAAGTCGCACTTTTAAAATTCAATTTCTCAGGAACTATTCGACCGATCTTGCTTTAATTTTGTATTTTGCCACGTAAAAATATATTCTTTAAAATTATTTAAAAAATTTTATACCTTATAATTAAAAATTTTTTCGACTATTATAAAATAAACTTAATTAAAAAATAGCAAATACTCACTTTTGCATGGAATTATCCCTGGCTTAAAACGTTTTATAATTGTACGCAAAAAATGCTTAATTTGTTTAAAAATTTTATCGAGATAAGGCAAAATACGAAAAAAGTAAAATTTGCATTAAGGGGTTCAAACTTTGGATCACTCTCCTGACCAAACTATTGGGACCATATTTCCCAGTTTGCGGCTACCCCCTATATTTTGGGCTCAGAAGTTCGAATTCGCCGGGGAAAAAATTCGGAAAAAGTAAATTTTTTTGTCTGATTTCGTAACTTAAAATATCATGTGCACTTATTGATTAGCCTATTTGAGGTTCCCCCACCGCAATCCATTAAGATTTAGTCTTCTAAAACGTGAAGATCCGATCATTTAATCAAAAGAGAAAAAGTTATTCAAGGTGGTTTTTTTCCGATTTTTTTTTTCTTTTTTTTTTTGCGTGCTGTTCATATATATATGTATGTAAAATTTCGAATTAGTACAGTAAATTCAATTTAGGAGGAATTAGGAATTTATTGCCCATATAACTAAGTAAAATCTTGATAGATTAATGGTTTGTGTTTTCTCATTATTTTAAAAAAACTTTCGAAAAAACAAAAGTAACAAGTAATCACTGTTTAATGATTACCCCTTAACGCACAGATTTTTTGAAGAAAAAAAAACCGGTTAAAAAAAAAAAGTTTTTTTTATGTAAAAAAAAACACTTTAGATCATTGTCTTTTCTTTTACGGAACAAATTTGATTTACTGCTCTTTTGTTCCATGGAAAAAGGTTATATTAAATATTTTATTCTTGAATAAATAAGCGTAATAGCTTATACAATCCTATGTAAATGATAAATATTAATAAAACGATTTTTTTTTATTAGCTTTCACATTGCTATTTTCAATTCCCGATTATATTCGAGTGTGAAAAATTTATAGCATAAAATATGAAGCTGCTCGAATTATCTCGAGTGTGCACAGTTTAGCCTGTTTAGCGAGCTCGAATTAACGAGAGCACAATTAAGGGGTTAAAAAGAAATTTATTTAATCTATTAAATTTATTAAAAAGTCATAAAAATAATTTTAAAAAAATCATTCATTTGCATTAATTTTTGAGCTACTCATATATTTTTTTCTAAGTTTATGAAAACTGATTTTTAAATTACTTATTTTAATTATTGCTTAATTACTTATTTATTAATACTTTATTTCATATTAAAACTTACTTCTAAATTTGTAACTTTTTTTCAAAAAGTACCTCAAATACAGAAAATGCCTCAATAAATAAGGGTAAATATTACATACTACTATATGATGGATGTATATTTAGAACAAAAATCTTATAAACATTTATTTATAATAATAAAATAAAATAAGTAATTCGTTGGCTTTAATCTCCTTAGATTGATTGCTGATTTAATTGGGCATTGCTTATTATATTTTGAGGCGCACGTTCTATTCTTGCTATATTAAAAATGTCTCTCAAAGAATAATGAAAAATTATACGAAACAAAAAAATTATAAATGTTTAGTTATTTTTAAAATTTCTGAAATTAAACGTAACTTCATTGTTCTTTATTTACAAAATTAAAAAGTAACTATATTGTTTCTTTATTTTCAAAGTTGAAAAGTAACCTGATTTTTTTTCAAAATTTAAATATTAATTTATTGTTCCTTTATTTTAAAAATTAAATAATATCTTTATTGTTTCTTTATTTTCAAAATTAAAAAACGACTTTACTGTTTCTCTATTTTTAAAATTAAAAAGCAATTTTACTGTTTCTTTAGTATTAAAATGAAAAAAAGCAACTTCAGTGTTCCTTCATTTTCAAAATAAAAAAATAACTTTACTGTTTTTTTATTTCCAAAATTAAAAGGTAACTTTATAGTTTGATCAGTTTCAGAATTGAAAAGTAATTTTTTTATTCTCGGTCAGACGGAAATTTATTCTTTCTTTATTTGTATTATTCGAAACTAAAACGCAAATTTATTAATCCCAGAAAAACGAAACAATATTTATAAAGATCGATAAAATGTCTTTAAAAAGTTCATTACATGTTGCGTAAATTTCTTTATCGTTTAAAGGCCTATTTAAGAAAATATGTTTTTCCCTTTACAATTTATCAGTTCGAAAGTCGAATAGCTTCGTGTGAGTCAAAATCGTTTTTGTTCTCCCGTTGACTTTCAGCAGACGATTTTTCTACCAAACTAGTTTTTTTTTCCTAAAGAAAGAGAGAAAATTATTATTTGCTCTTCATTTATATTTATTCTTTTATGAAGGCGTACTATTAATTTTAAATATTATGGATATAACGCCAGAGGAAGATGGTAACTGTGCCGTAAGTAGTTTTCTCATTTATTATTATTTCTTTCTTTCTTTAACCCATTGCAAGTCACACAGGTGGAAATTAAATTTCTTGTGTTAAGAACGAAGGGTAAATTTAAAAATGATTTAGATAACACTTGTGTTAAAAATTAAGTGGCGAGTTTCTGGTTTTCCTATAACTTAAATTTTTTTTTAAAAATATTCATTATTAATACGTTACAATAATTACGAAATTTTTGTTTCTTTGAAATAAATACTAAGAGTGAATAAATGATTGTGTTATCAGTCTCAGTCTGCAATGAATATCGAAGATCTCATTATTTAAAAACATGCTTCTTATTTGAAAAGAGTGAATAAGTGATTGTGTTATCAGTCTTAGTCTTTTCGAATAAAAAGCATGTTTTTAAATAATGCAATCAATATCCATTGCGTTTATCCAATTTTGGCTTCAAATAGAGTTGCCTACTGAAAATGCAAGAAGTGGTGATAATAAAATTCAGAATTTTACTAAAAAGTAATAAAATTAACAGCTTTTTACGGCAATTTTGCAGTTTACTATTGAAAGTGCTTAATAAAAATGTTATTGATCAATATGATGTATCAATATGAATAATTTGAAATATAAGTCATAGTGTTAGTTATGATTGAATAATTAGAAGAAGAATAAATTAATCGAGTTTCTACCACATTTGACATTTTTAGTCGCCTAAGACATCCCTGTTTCTAACAGAAGATTGTTCTTGGTAGCAAAATGTATACTTCATTAACCTTTTATGCTAATATGTATAATTTTTCTTTATGCTAATATGCCTAATTTATGTATAATTTTTCACACTCGAATATAATCGAGAATTGAAAATAACAATGTGAAAACCAAGAAAAAAAAATCGATTTATTGATATTTATCATTTTCATAAGATTGTAAGCTATAGCACTTATTCATTCAAATCTTACTGTGATTTAAGTAATAGTGAAAAGAAAATTAAGTAATTACGTGCAGTATTACTTTATTAAGTATTTCACTACCTTTAGAAAAAGCTCGATAGAAGGTCGTAAAAGTTGGCAGATATGTCAGTGTCATATATATAGAAAAGGTTCTTTTCTCCATAAAGCAAATAGAACAAAATTGTTTCATTGTTAATATTCAAGCTGGGCAAATATTTCTCTCTCGCCGTTGGAATTAACAGAAAGAGCTAGAGGCAATATAATAATAAGCTTCCTTCTCACTTAACTCTAGATACATATGTATACATGATTCAATATGGAACCAAAGAAAGCTGCAACTTTTTAAAATGAAATGGTAGGTGTAACAGACGAAAATATCATTGGTTTAAACATAAACATAATGCCTAACTTTTATTCGCAAAGTAAGGCGGACGTAACCAGAAAAAAATTTCAAAAATGCAAAAAAATTTTTTTTTTGCCAATTTCTATGTAGCAAATAATTTCTGTAAATTTAAAAAATAAATAAATAACTAGATGTTAAAACTGCTTTAATTACGTCCCAAAGTTAAAGAAAAATTAAAACTTTTAAAATTTAATAGCCTCCCGATACATTTTACAAATTTTTTAAATTTTTCTAGGTTGTAGCCACCCAAGAATAGTGACGATAAATGTTTAATTCAGCTACACAAAATTTTTCAGTTTTCTATTTTTTATTTTAGGAATTTGGTTAATTTTGACTTCGAAACATATATTTGCTTTAAATTTATGAATATATTATGCAACATAGAAATCAGTAAAAATTAGTTTTAATGTTTCGAACTGTCTACAGAAGAAAATGTAAACGTTTTTTTATCCTCCAATGATAAAAAGTTCGCATTTTTTTACTTTTCTCATTGACAGAAAAATAAGTAAAAAAAATAATAATAATAAACTAATTTTTNCCAAAGAAAGCTGCAACTTTTTAAAATGAAATGGTAGGTGTAACAGACGAAAATATCATTGGTTTAAACATAAACATAATGCCTAACTTTTATTCGCAAAGTAAGGCGGACGTAACCAGAAAAAAATTTCAAAAATGCAAAAAAATTTTTTTTTTGCCAATTTCTATGTAGCAAATAATTTCTGTAAATTTAAAAAATAAATAAATAACTAGATGTTAAAACTGCTTTAATTACGTCCCAAAGTTAAAGAAAAATTAAAACTTTTAAAATTTAATAGCCTTCCGATACATTTTACAAATTTTTTAAATTTTTCTAGGTTATATATAGGAATATCTAGGATATATATATATATATATATTCAAATGATAATGTTGTGATTATGTTGAAAAGAAATTAAATGAAGTCCAAGAAAACAATGACAATTAAAAAATTTTAAGTTTCGTGGTAGAAGAATATTTTATTTTGATACTTAGTAGTCTTTGATAAAAAAAAATAATATTGTATTTTGATACTTAGTAGACTTTGATAAAAAATAATATTGTATTTTGAAACAGTATTCTGTGATTAAAAATTTTGTTTTAATTGTGCTATTCTTTTTAGTGTTCCGAAAACTGCCCTAGAAGTACAGTAGATGAAGATGAAGATTTAAATAAAGAAATTACTTATAAAATAGATGATGTGCCTCCTTGGTATGTTTGTCTTGTGTTGAGTTTCCAGGTAAGTCAAATTGCCTTCTTACATTTGACAATTTTATAATTGAAAGAACTAGACTAGATATTCAATTTTTAGCTGTTTCAGTTTCCTAAGAACTCATCCAGTTTCATATGAATTAATGCCATGAAACACAACAGGCATATTGGCGTAAACACTTATAGGAGATATGAATAGGTGATAAAAGAAGTTGAATCCAAGATTCTTCTTAATTGTAGTTAAAATATATATAAAATATTTAATGTTGTATATGAAATATTTGAATACATAAAATATTTAATATTGTATATAAAATATTTGAAGGGTAGAAAGGCCAAATTGTACGATCATTGAGGAAAAATTTTCTTTAGTGGGTAGTAAAAATATTTTTTCTTTTATTTATAAATTTCTGTTTTTGAAACAGAAAAAAAAATTGTTTTACCTATGATGATAAATCAATAGTTTAAACTTATAATTGAATCGTGATTCAAGTTCTAATAAGCAGTTTTTTTTAAATGTTGTCAAAGTAGCCTAATTTTTAGAGAAATTTTTTTACAATCCCCTTTGAGATCGTATTACATACATGGTCATCTTACTGGTCAGAATTAATTTTGTTTGATGACCTAATCTTTGTTATGTTATAATGGAAAAAAAGAAAATAATTTATTTTCCGGTTTAAAAACGTAATTTTATTTCAAACTTTGCAAAACATTATCTTAAATTTTTAGATCTGCAAAGTCTAACTTAAGTAATCTGTGTTGTTCAATACAAAACGATCCGTGTGGTTCTTTGCTGTAGTGGCTGAGAGCAGAGATCGACTGGAACGATGTAAAAACAAATTGGTGGCTATGAGCAGACATAACGCTATAATTTGTGAAACATTTAGTATGGTTCTTAACTGTGGTGGCTAAGAGCAGACATAAGACTGAAGCTAAAAAAAAGCTTTGGTGGCTGAGAGCAGACATATGACTGAAACGGTGTAAAAAAATTTGGTGACTATGTGTAAAAATTAACGAGCTTTTTGGTGTTCTCATAGAGCCAGATACACGGCAGATTTTACAAAATTGTGGTAGTTTTCCACATTGTGTATGAATAAACATAGCACTACAATTTGTAAAACATTTAGTGTGGTTCTTTACTGTGGTGGCTAAGAGCAGACATAAGATTGGAAATGTGAAGAAGCTTTGGTGGCTGAGAGCAGACATATGACTGAAACGGTGTAGAAAAATTTGGTGACTATGTGTAAAAATTAACGAGCTTTTTGGTATTCTCATAGAGCCAGATACACGGCAGATTTTACCGAATTGTGGTAGTTTTTCACATTGTGTATGAATAAACATAACGCTACAATTTGTAAAACATTTAGTGTGGTTCTTTACTGTGGTGGCTAAGAGCAGACATACGATTGGAACTGTGAAGAAGCTTTGGTGGCTGAGAGTAGACATTAGACCAGAAATCGTACAACATTATTTTAAATTGTTAGGTCTGAAAAATCTATCAACTTAAAACCTATCGATCGTTTAGTATTGAACAACACGTGCCGTAGTGGCTGAGAGTAGACATAACATTACAATTTGCAGGACATTCGGTGTGGTTCGAACCCCAGTTCACAATGACAATTCGGTGACCACTACTGAGCCATTGCTGATCATTTATTTATTTATTTTATTTATTTGTTTATTTATATTGTTTATTTATTTTATTTATTTGTTTATTTATATTGTTTATTTATTTATTTATTTGTTACTTCCGCCGTATTCTGAAAATTCAGTAACAGAAGTTTCAAACTATCACATGAAATAGTATAAAATTGCAGAGTAAAATTATTTTTTCTTCCTTTGCAGCATTATCTAACGATGCTCGGAGGGACTGTTTCTTATCCGTATTTGGTATGTCCACATCTTTGTATTTCAGAAGATGATCCTACACGAGGATATATTGTCTCAACAACATTTTTCGTATCTGGAATTTGCACATTTCTACAATCAACATTCGGTGTTAGGTAAAAACACTTTTTAAACTATATTAACCGGACTGAGTTTTCTTTTAATGATATTTCGGTGAACGGAAAAAACGCCTGGTTTAAAAAAAAAAAGAAAAAAATACATCGCGAAAAAAATGCACCTAAGATAACACCTCATTAATAATTATATGAATTCAATATGAGATTCAATTCGGGCAGTTATACCAGAATTTAATGCAACTAAATATTTATTCTAATGATTTTTTATTATTTTTCAATATAAAGATTAACTTTATTTATAAAAATTTAGTATCTAAAGATTTAGTATATAAAGATTTAGTATATAAAGATTTAGTATATAAAGATTTAGTATATAAGGATTTAGTATCTAAAGATTTAGTATATAAAGATTTAGTATGTAAGGATTTAGTATCTAAAGATTTAGTATATAAAGATTTAGTATATAAGGATTTAGTATCTAAAGATTTAGTATGTAAAGATTTAGTACATAAAGATCAATTTAATTTTTGCGGAAAAAAACTTTTGCTACAAAACGACTAGGACTTAAAAGTAATTCCAAAATTATTCAATATTTTAACAATTACACTAATTGTATTGGGAAACAATATACTTATAATACTTTTTCAACTAGTTTTTTTTTTTTTAATGGTTCAAAATTGAAATCTTTTATCACTTTTGATTATAACTAAAACTTATACAAGGATTAACGACACAAAAAACAATTGTTAATTGATGCTTAATAATACTAATGCACATTATATAATTGTATTTACATAAAATTAAAATTACATAGGGCATTAAAAACGTAATAACTATTTTTTTAAAAAAAAAAACCTAATTACGTTCGAATAATTATTGAAATTCATTAAATTCAGGTACAATGGCCGGAATTGAATTGAATGTTAAATTGACACTATAATTAAAAATGTGTTTTTTACCCGGGGCTTTTGTTTTCCTGCACTTTTTTCTTTGTCAGTACGTTCGTTTGTGATTCGATATTTTTACTTATTCTAGTCGAATTACTTCTAAAAGCATAACTCTGATGAATTTACCTAGATTTTTTTCGAGTTTCTACTTCTTCTCAGATTTACATGGCAACACTGAAACATAAAAATTAAAAAACTTCAATCACAGCATGTAAATTATTTAGCCCTTTGTAGGGCCGTGGAAAATACACTTCGCACTACCTTCACTAACTTTTAAATGTCGAAGGGAAGCTATTTTCCCCCAATAATTTGTGCTGCCATCTGCTGATAACTTCAAAAAATACATTTAAAAAATACCAATACATTTAAAAAATACCTTCAAAAAATACATTTAAAAAATACCAAAAACTTTGTTCACATAAATGGTGGGTAACAGTAAAGGTTAGCGTGGGTTTAAGAACCAAAGCCAACACTGGGGTGCTATTTTCTCTTTTGTGTCATGCGTTCGTTCATTTGATCATTTCTTATCGAGTTAATTTGTACTTATAAGCACAGCATTTATAAACTCCGTTTCTTATGAGCTCAGAAGTTGAAATTTATGACCAATTCTTTACTGAAGGTAAAACTTTGAGAAACCCGTATCCACCACCCAACTAAAAGCATAGGTCTTAAAAATTGAATTAATTTTAGGTAATAAGATATAAATTTCTTTCTATAAATCAATCTCCAACGCAATAATATTTTAAAACAACAAGTACTATAAAAAAGTGGCCCTATAAAAAGGGTTAAGTGCATTTTGTGTTTGAAGTTTATTTTTTATCTATTATTTATTTTTAGACTGCCTATAGTACAGGGGAGTTCCATGGCATTTTTAGTACCGATATTTGCTATCATGAATCTACCAGAATGGCAGTGTCCTCCCATGGATCTAAACTCTACTTTGACTATAGAAGAACGAAGAGAAATATGGATGCCTCGAATGAGAGAAGTAATATATTTAATCAGTAGCTGCTTAAATTATTTACATTATTACTTTTATTCTAATAATTTAGAAAAAAAAGCAACAGAAACTTAGCAAAAGTCTTATTTTTGAGACAAATTACACTGGGGAGCAAATTTTTTGTTAGATTGATTCAAGTACTCGATCTAAACGGTAGTGGCTAAAAAGTATCTTGAATTTCTTGTAAAATGTTTAATAAATAAAAAAAATAAATAAAAAATAATCTAATGATCACGCCGAGGTCAGTCCCGAGGTCAAGAAAAATTAGAGGAGATTTTTTTTTCTTTTTTTCTTTCCTTTCGAAATGTCATGCTGCAAAATAAATAACTGCACTGGGGAAAAAAAATTTTGTTGCATTTATACAAGTACTTGATCTAACCGATGTGGGGATTTCAACTCAGAAAATAATTTTGTTCCCAAAGTTACAGATTTTTTCTAAACGCTATTTTTAGTTTAGTTTATGAACAAGTGTATAAAGAACGTATACGGCCGTGCTTTTGAAAAAACAATGCAAGTGCTACACTATAAATTTCGGGAAAAGTGGTTTGATGTAATGTTAGGAACGCTGAAATACAATTTCCGAAAACGTATACGTATAAAGAACGTATACGGCCGTGCATTTGAAAAAACAACGCAAGTGCTACACTATAAATTTCGGGAAAAGTGGTTTGATGTAATGTTAGGAGCGCTAAAATATAATTTCCAAAAACTGATTAAACACAATTTATTTTTGAAAAATATTTTTTGCAATAGGTAGCTTATCATACAGAAATGTCAAATAAATAAGTCTCAATATTTATTTGTCCCGCAGTGGACTGATCGTTAAGACACGGTTCCCAGCAGATCACCGAAGTCAAGCATCACTGGCTGCGGTCAGTGTGCGGGTGGGTGACCACTTGGATCAGTCTGCGTAGGGACCGAGGGTGTGCGGTATTGGTCCTCGTTAAACTGTGCTACCGTAAAGTGCTCGACTTCGCGTGCAGGTCGTTGGGCTACCGAAGCGGGGGTGCCATCCCCTCTGCAGAGGATCAAAATTGTGATGGCATGTCTTCGGATCATCCTCAGGGATGTTTCCCAGACCGTCGCCAATAGCCCACTGTGCAGCTCTAGTGCGACGTAAATGAACTACAACTACAACAACAATATTTATTTTTTATTGCTTGGCAGTACAGGTTTAAAAACGTTCAGTGCTCAAAATAAAAAATGGAACACCCTTAATAACTTTTGATCTAATGATCGGATCTTCACGTTCTAGGACTCAATCTTAATGGTTCAAAAGGGTGATCTTAAATTTGTTAATTAGTAAATATAAACGATATTTTAAGTTACAAAATAAGACACAAAAACGCACTTTAAACGAATCTTTCTTTCGAAGGATTCGAATTTCTGAACCTTCAAAACATAGGCGGTGGCCGCAATTTGGGAAAAATGGTCCCCATAGTTTGGTCAGGAGAGCGGTCCAAGGTTTGAACCCCTTAATATTAATTTTACTTTTTACACATTTCGCCGTATCTCGAGAAATTTTTAGGCGAATTAAAAACTTTCTGCACACAATTATAAAATTCGTTAATCAAGAGATAATTCCATACGAAATATAACTTTTAGTTAATATTTACAATTTTTTATTGTATTATTTACTAGTGGTCAAAAATATTTCGAATTACAAGGTATACCATTTTTCACATCACTTTAAATAATGCAATTTTTCAAAATATGAGCGAAATCAGTCGAATAGTTTCTGAGAAATCGAATTTTGAAAAAGTCGTATTTTTAAAATTCAATTTCTCTGAAACTATTCAAACGATCTTGCTCAAATGTTTTATTACATACATATCGAATATTATCGCTTTCTTACTGCCACGTCCTACGCAACAGAGAGATGAGGATACTTAAGGCCTGGTTTCTTAGGACAGGACGCCGTCAGCTTGAAATCAGCGCTAACCTATGATTGGTCCATTTGTGAGTTTGATAGTATACGTCATCGAAAGCTCATCTTGAACTACAATTGCCNAGTTAGAATTCACTTAGAATTCACTCTAGTGATTTTCAAGAAATACTGGTTGGGAATTTATTATTAAATTGCATAAAAATTGAAGCTTTAAAGAGGAGCCAATTGCAGATTTGGAAATTAGTGATGATATAGTATCTTAGATCTGTTAAAAACTTTTTCATTTAGGAATTCGTTTCATTCAAATTATTTTGGAAAAAGTACACGAGAGAGTTATGGCGGTTAATTGGCCAAGATAAATTAAAATTCATGATTTTATTCACTGTTTTTCATAGCATGTTTTAAAGCACTGTATTGCTTTGAAACATTTAGGTTAGAGCCGCGATTATTATCGCTTCTCTAATCGCTGGGGAATTTCTATGTTGGCGGTGGTTTAGGGATAGGGTGCTCTCCCCCTAATGAAATCAACCAGGTTTGAATCCCAGCGATGGCTGGTCGATGCGACCACAGCGCGAACTCAGTGAAAAATATCCTCAGTGATATACGGATAATGAGTTAGATTCCCCTTGCCGTCAGGCTAACCATGTGAGATTTTCATGATTTCCCTCTCCGTGTAATGCAAATGCGGTTTAGATCTATCAAAAAAGTGCTCCACGAAGGCTTTTTTATCTCTAGTGCTTGATCTATAAGTTCCTTGTCTTCCGGATCGGGTTCAAAACTAAAAGGCTACGGAGTTAATGATAGTTGTAAACTCAGAATTGGGTTGGCTGTTCAACGACGGTTATAAATTAAAATATTTTGGTTATGAAAGTAAAAACAAGTTTTTCTTTATTAGCCTTCTTTTATATATGTCGTAGGTAACTCGGGAAATTTGGCAAATTGCTGGCGTCATTTGTTAGTCTTATTGCAATAACGTTGGCAGTTTGCGCAGAATAAGATTTTCCAATTAGCTTAAGACATATACTTTATACGAAATATATATTCTAGGTACAAGGTGCTATCATTGGTGCATCCGTATGTGAAGTGGCCATCGGATTCTTTGGAATCATGGGATTTCTTCTCAATTGGATCACTCCCTTGGCCATCGTACCAACCATAAGTCTTGTGGGCCTCTCTCTATTTGCCGAAGCAGCTCATTCTGCATCGGGAAACTGGGGAATTTCTATGTTGTAAGTCTTATCATCCTATTTATTCATGAATTAGCCACTCAAAACTAATTTTTGGGCTTATTACTTTTCATCAATTAGGCCACGAAATAATGTATGTTTTGATATGAAAAAAATATTGATTTTCATTTGTTCTTTCAATTGAAATTCGTTTAATGGGAGAAAATAAGATAATTGTGTCCCTATGTACAAGGTTTTTAAAATTTAACTTACTGTAATCAGAGTCTCCTAATTCCAGTTTGCAAAGATCCGAAACAAAAACAAATTCAAAAATCTGTTTACTTAGATCATGGAGACAAAGTTTCTGTTGAAAAAATAATTCGATTTTCGCCATCAGGTAGCAACTTTAGCGCAACAAAAAGAATGATAACATCACAAAATTCAATAACAGAATATTTCATTAAATTACACACCTTTGTTATTTACGTGCATACCTTGTTGGTTAATTGGTTGCATGTATGCATAATTTACATTAAAGTTTAGAAGAACACCACCATCTAGTGGCAAAATTTCGAACTTTGTTTTTACGGTAACTTTATCCCCATAATATACGTTACATTTGCTCGAAATTTCCTTCAAATCCATTTAATAAAAAAAAGAGTACTATACTGATATAGCATAACTGCTTAGATTTCTACTACACATACCTATCTCGGTACATGTACAAAATCTTTTCATTACTTGCCCTTAATCCCAATATGGTTTCGACGTTTCAAATTTGTTACATTTAGTAATTTTTTTTAAATTTTACATTATTATACTAATTAATTTTTTTAAGTAATTGATAAAGCACTAGCCCAGTATTTTCTATACTAGTGTTTTCTTTAATGTTCAGTGCCATTGCCCGGTATTCCCTACAATCATATTTTTCATAATGTATTCTTCGCAATGAATTCTCGAAAGGAAACATTTTCCTACAACTTAAAAAGTGAATGAATATGGTGTATAATAAAACAAAAACATTACAGAATGTAAACTCGAAGCATCGAAATATTTTGAAAGCAGACGTACAGATCTTATCTTTCTCTACCTGTGAGAGAAATTAAGTAATTCATTGCGAATCAGTTTGAAGTTGAAGGACTATTCTAAAAAACAATTGACTGTTTTCTTTTCAGAACAATGCTGTTGATGATTTTATTTTCACAATGTTTGCGAGATGTTTGTATGCCTTATCCCACGTATAATGAAAAGACTGGGTGGACGTTTGGAAAGTTTCCTCTCTTCAAACTCTTTCCTGTGAGTATTTCTGCCATTTATAAACTCAGAAAATACCAACCATCACGCCTCTAGTCCGTTTCTATTTTATGGCTACATTGATTGAAAAGTTGAAAAAATTCAGTAAAAATGACGCTAGATGCGTTGATTTATATTAAAAGATTTTAATTTACGTAATCTAACTCTAACACCACTTACCAAATGACACATAAAAGAATTTAACCTACACTAGGGGCAAAACTAACCTTTAAAAAACACCAGGGCTGCGACAGCCTATTTAAACCGTTTTCTAATAGTTTTACCAATCAAAACTTCTTATAAGTCGATATAGCTTGGTTGGTAGGATGTTAAGCACATGTCTAAGAGGTCGTTGGTTCGATCTTCGCCGGCCGAAGACTCCTAGTGTAGTAAATGGTGACTGGTGCACGTTAAATCTGTGGGGTCACAAAGTCCTCCAAGTTCCTATAATAAACCAATGCCACTGGAGGTACGGAATTGGAGATTGATCGTTCTCTGGTTCAAGTCAAAATTACAATCTATGAATGAGTGAATCGGATGTATAAATGGGCCTGAGTTTTTGTCTTTCTTCTAGTTTCTTAAAATAAAAATCGAATCAATCAAAAATCATGATGCTCTTGAGCGGTTAAAACAATACCTTAAAACTTTAGATACACCTTCACTCCTAATTTTAAATCCTTTTTTTAATCTTTACGTTATTGCAGGCCTCTCTACTGAAATGACGCTACTGAACAATGCACCTTGCGGAGAACGTTGAATATTGCGTGTTGATAAGCTGATGTTCGGATTTTCTTATTTAAGTGTTATGTAACGAGTGTTATATATTTACAAGTATTATAATTAAAGCCGTGGTGGCTCAGGGGATAGAGCGTTCGCATTCTTATGAGGTGAACCGGATTCGAAATTTCTCCCCGTACTTGATCCAGGATTTCCCTTGTCAGCTGGATGGGGTTCAAAATTACAAGGCTATGGAGCTGAACATTAGTTGGCGTAAACCCCTAAAATTGGATCGACTGTTCAACGACGGTTATATAAAAAAAAAGGTATTATAATTAGAACCGTGGTGGTTCAGAGGATAGAGCATTCCCCTTCCGATGAGGTTAACCGGGTTCGAATCCCATCGATGATTGGTCGATACGAATTCCGCACTAGACTCGCAAAGACCACAGTGCTGGCATAAAATATCATCAGTGGTATACGGATCATGGGTTACAGTTCCCTTGCCGTCATTCTAACTGTGGGAGGTTTTCGTGGTTTTCCTCACTATATAACGCAAAATGCGGGTTAGTTCCCTCAAAAAATCATTCACGAAGGCAAATTTCTCCCAATACTTGATCCAGGAGTTGTTTCTGGATTGGGTTCAAAATTACATGGCTACCGAGATGAACATTAGTAGTTTTAAACCCAAAATTGGGTCGGCTGTTCAACGACTGTTATAAAAAAAGTATTTTTTTTTTTTTAATTTTAATAATTTAATTTAGTATAATAAATTTTTAAACAAGGCAGACAAATTTCTGCGTAACTTCTACCTTGTGTGTACGAAATATGACGCTCGTACACACAAGGTAGAAGTTACGCAGACGGCGGGTAAATATAACGCTCGTAAACATAAGGAGACCTATGGATGCCGACTAAATACGAAGCTCGTAACGAAAGGGTAAATAATACATTATGGTAGATAAGACTGTTTTGTATCTGGGAATTAACAGAGATGTAAACTTACTGCACTTAGGTATGAAATTTTTCCTACAGGTAGTAAAATTTGTGTTCTAATGTCTGATTAACAATTTTGACTTGTTTTTAAAATATTTTTCCCACAATTACATATAAGTAATAGAAACGTTCATATGTAACATCACTTTATAAGGAATGCAATTTTACAAGGCAAAATATAGAATCTGATCGAAATCAGTCAAATAGCTTCTGAGAAATTAAATTTTAAAAAAGCCATAATTTTAAAATGTAATTTCTCAGGAACTATTCGACCGATTTTATTCAAATTTTTTATTTAGCTATATAAAATTGCATTCTTTAAAATGATTTAAAAAATTATATACCTTACAGTTCAAACTTCTTTCGGTTATTATTAAGTAAAATAATAAAAAATAAATAATAAAATATTTACTGAAGGCTAATTTTTGCATGAAATTATCTTTGGATAAACGAATTTCATAATTGAGTACTAAAAGTTTTCAATTTGCTTAACATGTTCACGACGGGAAAAGTGAAAATACTTGTCCGGGAAAATAGAAAATACTGGTAGAAGAATATTAGATAATATTTGGGAGGAGTTAATCTATTCTCAACAATAACAATTCACTGTAAGGAAATTTACCACGGCGAAGAAGCAATTCAATATAAAAATTGCATCCGTTAAAAACAATTGGTAGTTATGGATTTTTATTATTCCCGGAAAAAAACTAAAAAAAGAAATTTATTTGTTACCAGTTTTTACTCTGGTGCGCCGCCAAGATGAGAAAATCTAGCGAGACCCACCGGTGGGTCACCCCGGCGTGAACGTGTTAAGTTAGACCTTGCAGATCTAAAAATTTAAGATGGTGAAATACTCATATACTAAGTAAAATTAACATTAAGGGGTGCAAACTTAGCAACGTTCTCATGACCAAACTATGGGGGCCATATTTCCCAGATTACGACAACCCCTATATTTTGAAAATCAGATATTGAAATCCGTCACACAAAAAAAGTATATTTATTCAGAGAAAGTACGTTTTTGTACTAATTAGAATAAAATACCGTCTGCACTAATACAATATTTGAGATCACTCCCATAGACATTTAAGACTGAGTGATTCGATCAACGTGAAGATTCGATCATAGATCCAAAAACATTCAGGGTGGTTCGTTTTTTATTTTGCGCACTGTACATTAGAGAAAATATTCTTATAATGTATGTTTTTCTATTTTATGTAGGTTCTATTGACTATCCTGATGTCATGGTCTCTATGCGCAATTCTCACAGCCACTGGAGTTTTCTCTGAGGAGAATCCTGCGAGAACAGACAGTCGATTATCTATTTTAAGAGCAAGTCCCTGGATAAGAATTCCATATCCAGGTGAGCAATACCCAGATTTTTAATTACATGGCCGCCAACTTTTACGATTTTCTTTAAATATTTTTCATAAGTGATAGTTAGAAAGCAGAGCGAAAGGTATTAGCAATTTTATAAATTTTGTCAGGCTTTTTAAAAAATAAGGCATAACTATATCAGGGTTCTTATATGTGGTTTCTAACATTTTCGCAGCCGATCCCGCGCTAGCGTGAGACGAAATTTTTCGTAAGAGTTTGTATTAATAAGACAGACCAAGTGATAGCAAGATGCTTATTATCGCCCAACTATTTTTCCAGAATATATATTTCCTCCCGACAATAACACATTATTTATTGAAATTAACTTATTATGAATTTTAAAAGCCAAAATGGTAGCTAAAATAGGAACATTTTACCTTGATTTTATCTTTATCGATGACCACTTTTCAGTGTATGTAACAAAGCATAACCATTTTGTATGTAACTTTGTTGACAGTGTATTGTATACATTAGAAAAACTAACATTGTAAATATTAGAAAAATTAAAATATCAAAAGAATGGTAGCTCATAAACGTTTAAATCAAGCGGAAGTTTTCTTACGTTACCTACATTTTAAGTTTTTTAATATAACAAACCACTTTGCTTGTCAAATTTAGCTGGGCACTTGAACCAAGCATTTACCATCACCTGCTACATCAGAAAGCCTCCACACGGTTTTTTTATTAGTCGGCGTAGACTATTTAAATAGTGAACCAGTTGTGCGCATGAACCCAAATTCTATTTTTAAAGGAATTAAGAGAAATTTATCATATATGTTTGAGTATTGAATCTGTAGTGGTTGACAAATAAATAAGACAAACCAATCATATTCCTAAATTAAACAAATTTTTGGATATATATTTGCTAACACCTTCCAATTGTTAATAGATTTTCTATTAAATAGCTCTTTCGTAAATTGGTTTATTTTCACAGTGGTCTGATCAGACTATCTATAAGAAACCGTGTGGATGCTTTAAGTTATAGGAGGCGTTCATAAAAGTCAAGGGGGTTACTGAATAATGTAAAATGAAAAAAGTTTCATATAAAAAAAAAAGTGGGTACGAATTGATTTATTAAAGAAATCGATCGTTAAATCGACTAACTTGACAATGAATCTTCTCATAAATACTGTGGAAACCAGAACTAAGTACCAACAAGACCATCTCATTACTTGCATCAACCTTCTTCATCTGTCTAATTAGCCCTTGAGCGACTAGACTTTTGGGACCTTAGGGGCTTATGGAACGACTAGAGTACTAATGTAATTTGGTGAATGGTATACTCCCGAGTCGAGGATCATCTTAATAGTCATTTACTCTCTTTAGAAGTATCCATAAGTTAATATGATAGTTGTCATCATCATCATCAATATTTATCTGGGAGCCTGGGGCCGTTAGCGGCCTTTTTCCCATTCGTCTTGAATTGTGATCTTTAGGGTGGTTCTTTCTGATAATTGGAATGCAGTTGGAGTAAAAGGAATTTAAATATTTTGAATTTTAGATAAAATTACGTCACTACAAAAGTAAGCTGCCATCGGCCTGAGGTCTTCTCCTAAGTTTTCAAAAGTAAAAATTTCGTTGAATCCTGCGGTGTCACAATTTATGGTTTTTTCAAAAAATCTGAAATTTAGCTTTGCAATATGATGATCTAAAGAATCTATGTTGAGGTCGCGATGTATGTTTTAATTTCTGATAAACCATCTTGCTTTTGTTATTTTCCTGAGGATTTTGTTCTGGCACGTTTTGAGTTTTTTAAGGAGTGATGTGGAGATGTTGCACCAAGCTGGAGATGCATAAGTCAGGATGGGACGGATCATTGTAGTAACGTTTAAGTCTAAGTTTCATTTTTGGGTTCTGAAGAAGGATTTGTAATCTGTGGCAGTCTGCTTGTACTTTGTTGATAACTGTTTTGGCGTGATCTTTCCAATTAAATTTACTGTTAATGACCAGACCAAGGTATTTAATATGGTAGTTGTCGACTTCATGGTTAAAATTAGAATGATTAGTTAGTAAAAATAAGTGGTAAAACAATGGATTCATTTTGTTAGTTTTATATTAGAGATACATCTACCACGATATATTAGAAACATTAAGTTTTAAATTACAATATTGGTGGAACGGAGCACTAACACGCAGAGCTGCACTGACCGATTCATCGAATCTATTTGGTCAGGTACTGGAAAGTCATGAAATTTAAAATCTCACGTTGTTTGATGTAAATGCATAACTATAGTGCGATGTCTGAGAAAGGGAATCCCTTCAGAATTTGTCTTTGTTTATATTTAGAACAACAACAACAAAATAATAACTTTATGAGGATTCATTAATTAAAGAAAAGAACTAAATGTGAAGTTGTATCACAATGAGATTACTTGATGTTTGACAAAAAGTAGTTTGAATATTTTATTCGTATTCTTAAATTCATCAATAATTGATTTTGTAAATTTAAAAAAATTTCAAAGATTAATAATTGTTTGTCTTATCTAAATAACCGTAAATAAATGCAAATTTGAAAAATTTTGTTTGGAGGTATGTCGTGTTTGGAGGATTTTAACTTTAACGCAAAGAGACACAGGTGTTTAATGCCGTAATTCATAACCATAAATTAATAAAATGCAAAATATAATATTTTTCACTTATTTTGACCTAAACTAATAAAAAGTTATGAAAAAATTATGAAAATATGTTTTATAAAAATTTTGCGTCAAGGGCTTAACCCATTAATGCCTAATCGTAAGAAGAGTCTATATATGAAAAATACATAGTTGAAAAAAGAAAAAAAAAGGTAATATATTTATAGTATTATCAATATGGTTGAAAAAAATATCTTATCTTTGTACATTATATATATCTTATAATTGTAAATAAATATTAATAATAAAATACACATGTTAGATCCTTTTTACTTTTCAAAAAAAATTGAACTGTCCTTCTATGAGGACAATGGGTTAGTTTTGGGTAATGCAAATGAGTTAAATTTGTACTCAACTTTATCAAACAATAATAACATATGATCTTTCAAATGCAGGTCAATGGGGAATGCCAACGTTCACATCAGGAGCAATGGTAGGTGTTTTGGCTGGCGTCCTGGCATCAGCAATAGAATCAGTTGGCGATTATTATGCTTGTGCTCGGCTGTCAGGAGCTGAATCACCCCCAAAACATGCCATCAACAGAGGGATTTTGATAGAAGGTATAGGATGCATCGTTGCCGGACTATTTGGTACGGCGAGTGGAACCACTTCATTCAGTGAAAACATCGGGGCTATTGGCATTACTAAGGTAATTTGCTGAAGTAAAAATAAGGTTTTACCAATCAAAAACCTTCTATCGATTAAAAAAAATTAATTTAATGATTTTAACCCACTAGTACCTAGCGTCCTTTTAAAAAGACGGTTACATTTTTGAAAGTTGGAAAAAAAAATGGTAGCACAAAATAATTAAGATTTATGAACCAAAAACATGATAGTTCTGTCTTCTAATTATTAATTATATAAATGTTTACATTTGTAACTGAAATCAAAGTACAGAGCTTCTTAAAGCGATGGGTAACAGAGAAGAGAGCAATATCCACAAGATAGAAGCAAAAAAGATTATTGATAAATAAGAAAGACTGCTAATCAATTAAAAGTTAAATCGAGAGGATTAGTCTTGTAAGAATGTCAATAAATAATGTCATATTTATTTATTACAGGTGGCCAGTCGCAGAGTGATACAATACGGGAGTATATTGATGATTATGTTCGGAATGTTGGGAAAATTTGGAGCCATTTTCGTGACCATTCCTGGTCCCATTCTGGGTGGCATATTCTGCATAATGTTTTCCATGATCACGGCTGTTGGTCTTTCTACTCTTCATTTTGTAGATCTGAACTCATCTCGGAATCTCTTTGTCCTCGGATTCTCGATATTCATGGGTCTCTGCCTGCCTAAATGGATCCAGTCGAATCCAGAATTTATCGACACGGGTAATTATTTTCATTGAAAATTGTTTTGAAATATTTTTTTTTCCATTAGTAGATGACGCATATCCATCCTATTAGCGATAGCAACGCTCCAATACGCCATCTGGGAAGAAGAAAGGTTCTGACTTGACCCTTCCCTCCTCCGTTGTATATTTTATTTTGTTTTATATCCGTCGTTGAACAGCAGACCCAATTTTGGGTTTGCGACTACTAATGTCCAACTCCGTAGCCTTGTAATTTTGAACAAAATCCAGAAGACAAAGTAATTCCTGGATCAGTACCCCCAGAGGTTTGATTTGTCACGGGAATATGGAGGATTTTGACTCGACAGATTTTGCATCAGTCACCATTTACTACACGGGGGGAGTCTTCAGCCGGTGCGGTGGGGATCGAATCCATGACCTTTTGGACATGGGCCCGGTGCCCTACCAAGCACGCTATCCCGGCCCCTCCTCCGTTGTATAGGAATGTACTACGATATTTTCCCCTTTCTTAATATTTTTCGTAATTTAATTGTTAAAAAACACTTTCTTTTTTAATTTTTACAAGCTTTGTTTTAGAACTATGTTAAATGGGTTTTCAGTTCCATAACTTAGAAGTTTTTAAACTCTTTGAAAATCAAGATAGAAACTAACCTACTTCCTTCTTCCATGACTCTCCACACGCAAATGGTGAAAGTATGCAAAGTTCTCCTCTACACCACCTGTAGCCCATTTTTATCGTCAGTGTTACTGCAACAATGTATTTTGTTATTCTTTGAATGTAATATATGTGATGTAAAGAGCGTGAGTTGGACAATATTTTCTAAATGAACTGAATCAAACTTAGAATTTATAGAAAACGAAAAACATAAAAAATTCATTCGTAGAATTTTGAATACATAAATATATAAATTAGAAGTCGTCGCTAAACCCTCATTCGCCCAATATTCCTGACTGAAGAGAACACATAAATGTGTTGTCTCAAGAAATATATCAATAATTGATTAAAAAAATTAAACTCGATATTTTATTTAAAAATGTGATTTTGGCTACCCTTCCTTTTCACTCCTATGCACACTTCTTTCTTCCTGAAATTGTTTAACTTTTTGATTCAGGTAACCAAGCTGCTGATCAAGCTCTCACTATACTACTGAGTACAAATATGCTCGTTGGAGGATTCATCGGATTTTTGATGGACAACATCATTCCAGGTAAATTCGCTTTTTTGTGAAACTCCAGGTAAATAGTACAAATTCCAAAAAAGGACATGCCGCGCCAAACATATGTTTTTAAAAGATTGAAAAGCAAAATAAAATCAGATAAAATGGTGAATACTCTAAAACAGTGTAAAGGTAAATGCATTCATAAGGGGATAAAAATAGTAAGCACTATAAAACAGCTATATACAAATAATATAAAATATCAATATAGCGAGAAGAAATGCAAAGATAATGAAACGAAAAATCTGTCTCTTGCGACGATTTTGGTGGAATAAAAAGGGCGTCGTGTAGTAGTTGAGATGAGTTCTTTTTTCACGTAGATTCGTGTTTTGTACTTACAAAGGCAAAAGAGAAGATTTAAAACTTCAGGAGCGTTTAGATTAACGGAACAGTAAAATATTGGATCATATTTCGAAAAGACTTCGCTAAATTAAAAATTATTTCAAAATTCCAATTTTTTTAATTTACAGAAACTACACAGAATTGCTAAAATTTTTACGAAATGAAGAAAACTTTAATATTTGAAAAGTTTTGCAATATTAATAATACTATTTGAAAAGTTTTGCACCCAATACAATTAGAAAATAAAATGAATAAATTTTAATGGAAAAAACAGAAAGGTTCTCTTCAGGACACATTTCTTTACCTAGTGATATTTCGAAATAAAAAATAATTATCCTATGATAAAAATCACTATTATATATATATATCACTATATATATATATATATATATATAAAGAAGGATTGATGTAGGTATTTAATCAGTCGTAAGTTTAAGTCTTGATTGTTCAAATATAATTATTTTCTAATTATTTTTTAATATAATTATTTTGAAATTCTTTGTTTTATATATCAATCAAAAGAACAATTATGAATGTGTATATTAATAGATGGGTATAAAAGTAAAGCACATGAATGCAATCAACTAAAAAAAATTATTATTTTTTTTTAAATTAACAGGTACAGATAAGGAAAGAGGTCTTATTGCTTGGCGCAAACAAGGCGAGGTATATAGCAGCACTAGTATAACTTTAGCACCAAAAACATACAACATTCCAGGCATTACTTCATACTTAGAGAAACACACTATGTTTAATCTTTTACCAATCAGTCCAACTTACCAAGAAGGAAGTCTGAAAAGCAGGATTGTAGTCTTAAAAGAATATTTCTCAAGAAAGAAACAGCCAACTGAAAGAAATGAACCGATTTGATTTGTAATAAAGTCCTAAATTAAATTTAATGTATATTGTAAATAACATTTTTTATGTGTAGTAAAATATTTTTGATACTTTTAATAAACTATATTTATGATATGTTATTCATTTACCTTAAACTCGTTTTACAAATAACTAAATTTATATTGTTTTAATAATATATGTCGATATTTACTGTTAAAAAGAATTGGTGTCTTTCTCGAATACATTCCAATATTTCTAATTATTTTTCTTTAAATACAAAAAATACAATATAAATTATTCCTCTCTCTTTTTACATGTTACAAGATATTATTTTTCTTTATTACATGGGAAAAAATTGCTTTAATAAATAAGAACATCCTCTAGTTTGTTATAGCAATAATAATCAAACCGGAAATTCTAATTTCCCACAATAATTAAATTGATAGCAGGGAAGTTCAGAGTGTGAGGCAGCAACCCCTAACATCTATCCATTTAAATATACAAAAGACTTTAGACAACTTAAGTATACTAAAACTTTTTAATCTGTAATTAGCTTACTAGTATAATTTTTATTAAGTAAATCTTCTTTGGTGGTGCAACAGTCCTGGGTGGGCCATGGCCTTCTCAAGAATTTTCCTCCAGGCCTATCTATTGTTTGTCCCCATTCATGGCGAAAATACTAAATAAATACTCAAGTAAAATATTTTTAAGAATCTTATTAATATGCTTATCAAACAAATTTAATGATGACCATTGAAATTGAAATATTTTTTACATTTAAAAATGTTTGTTGAAAATAATAAATTTTTACGAAAAAGAAATATCTAAATACATTTACATTAAAACGAATTAAAATTTTTATAAATGAGCGGTTATTTTTTAAAGTGAAATAAGTCCATTTGAGTTGAAAATAATTATTTATCCCTTTTTACGATTTTAATTATCTTTATTGTATTTTGAAGTTAAATTATAGTATTAAATACAAACATCCAAATTTCTAATGTTTTTAAATTCATTCATATGCTAATCCTTCAATTTCTTGATACAGGAAAAATAGTTTTATTCCATTTTTGAAAGTAAGGGTACAAAAATACATCCTTCAAAAAATTTTCCCCCTTAATTTAATAAGTTTCTTTTTTCATCTCCAGACATTACATTATTATAACCCTCATTCCTAATCCATAAGTTTGTTCCAAGCATCCTGGATCGACATCCTCACATATCTACATGCCACTGAATAGAGCAAAATAATTGTTGTTGTTGTTACTTGTGCTACTTGCCAGCAAGGCTGATTTAAGTCAATTGTATTTCTAAGGCAGAGGGTGTGTTTTTTTTTCTTTTTTCAGCGGCACCATCTATTGTCAAAAATAAGCCACACAAACGTCACAGCCTGTTTTACAGGAAAGACTCAAACCTACTCCATTCATCTACAGATCGTAATTTTTACCTGAATCAGAAAACGCTCTAATTCTAATTCAGTACCCCCAAGTATATTGATTTGTTATAGGACTTTGGGACACTGTCAGATTTAACAAGCACCCCTCACCATTTAATACGTTGAAAATCTTTGGCCGGCGGGATTCGAACTCACTTTCTCATGAACACACGTCCAACGTCCTACCAACCAGACTGCGACTTTACACATTGTCGACTCCCGGGCACCTCCACTCGCCGCGGTTCTATTTGTCAACTGTTTCACCGCCTTATCTAGTAACCCTCACTCAGAGGCAACCCTACGCTCGCCTCAATATAGCACTCGCAAAAGTCATAAACGAATCTTCGCGCTCATGGATATTTTTAGAAGTTGCTTGTTGAATTAAGTTAAAATTTTATCCTCGTTTAAGACTAGAAAAATTCAAATATCGAGAACAAAATACTTCGTCCTTCTATAAAGAAAGAGGAAGAAAAATTTACATACACACAATTATTTCAGTTAATTGCATACATATTTCGGTTAAAAAAATTTTCAAATAGAAACTATTCTTGTAAATTAAATAAAAATCTGGAGTAATAAAATATTTATATCTTCAGAATAATCAATTTCCTTTGAATATCTTAATTAATAAACAAAGTTTAAAAAAATAATCCCCTATATAAATCATCACATTATTAAGTGTACATATTTTTAAAGATAAAACTATTAAAAAAAGAATTTACGCAGTTTGAAAAATAATTATTTTCATTTCCTTCATTTTTGCCAGGTTTTTTCAATTGTTTCTATTTTGGAAAAAATATGTATTCTTCAAAATGCTTGCAATATCTTAAAAAAATTGCATATATTTTATACAGAACAACTTTTGATTGACAATATTTCCTTCATAAGAGTCTTTAAAAAAATTTGAAAATATTTTCATTAAACTTGTTCAAATATTTTCTGTAAAATGCGTGCTATTATGAAAACAAGGGGAAAAAATATTTTTAGTAAAGCCATGACATAAAGAAACAAATCTATGACATACTCACTACTATTTTCGTATAGTTAATTTATTTTTTATAACATCAAATCATATTTATATAAAAGTTGTGGCTGCTTAACTTTTTTTTAATGTTTCTTAAATTTGTCAGGGAAAATTCCGATATTTTCCATTTTTCTTGCTTCTATCACTATTATTTGTATATATCTGAAATTACTCACCTTCGTTTTAATTGTTTCCTAATTAATTTTATCATATATTTTGCTATATATATTTATCCTTTCATTCTATGCTTCATTAATTTCATAACTTATCCATCTTGTAACTTTTTATTCATAATTTTATAACAACTTTAGCTTATTAGATTCTATAACTCAACAATTGGTCTATATATTTTATAATTTCTTTATTCAATTTTTGGGCTTCTAAATAAGATATGGAAAAAATACTATGAAAATTATTACATTTATTGTCAATCTAAAATTAGGCCTTTTTTTCCTCCTAAGTGCGAAAACACATTTACTAACTTAATGTAACGTAATTTAACACGATTCATCTATTTTAATAAGAACGATTCAGAGAAAAGCAGGATCAGTAAAAGTGAAATGTGTATTTTAATTTATATTCTGCTTCAAAAATGAGACAAAAGAGACACAGAAAACTTTTCTGTTATTATTTAATAGTATTCATTAGTCTTTAAAATTCCAAAAGAATTTTTAAGTTGCTGGAATCATATAATAGTCTCATTTGTAACAACTTGTTTTTTAATTTTTTTTCACACAATAGCTTTTATTGTATGTAATTTGCTTTAAAAGTTCAAACATTTATTCTCAGATTGTCATGCAGTCTGTGTGTCTGAAAACTGTATGACCTATTTTATTTTATTTGTTCCTTGCAGAATGGTAATAATTGTTTCTTATTTGATAATAAAAATCTTACTTTTGCTGAGATAACTGATCGCAAGAGTTTTGTTTTATTATCATAACATCGATTAATTTTTTTTGAGAAAAGTGTAAGTCCTCAGCCTTTCAACCCAATTGCTTTAAAACTACTTTCTTTATTTAAAGTAAATTATTAAATTTAAAAATTGTTAAGATTCTCTTATTTGACTCAATATCTTGTCTTTAATGAATCAGAAATAAATAAACAGATTGTCCTTAAATTGTTATACAGTTATGATATGAGAATGTCAAAGTTGATGCTTACTGTTTACATTATATTTTTATTTTACAAATCATAAAAAGTTTTCTTTAATCAAAATTGTGTTCACCTCATAAATATACTTTAACTGCTACAAATTTTTAAGTCCTGGCTACCAAAGCTGTGGAGTTGGCTAATACGTATGAAGGAATTTATCGTTTGGGACATAACATTTACAAAAAAGTGTCAAATCTAAGTACAATTGTTTGGAAGCAAATATTATTCGCACTGCAAATCATTACATCAAATTTAATCATAGATATCAATGTCAGAAAAGTAAAAAAGAATAAATTCATGTATAAAGCTGACAGCAACAATCTCCTCATCATTACACGTATATAAAAAGAAAATGCTTAAAACTCATAAATTGTGTAGTTACTTAAATTAAAGGTTTTAAAAACTAAACAATAAGGTACAAAACCCTGCTGCATTATTGAATATTGTGTCCACATACTTGGCAAATACACCATAAATTATTTGCAATTAATTTATAAAAATAATTAAAAAGTTATACCCTACTCATATATCCTACACCCACAACAAAACTTAATCCTAAAAAGGAAATAAAAAAGTAAGAAATAAATATGTGTTTCAGGAAGTCTGAATAAAAAGGGAATGATAATACACAAAAACTTTTAAAGCAGCTAAATTTATTCACACCTCATGTTCACTCATGCGTTTTTTAAATCGTATGTCGCAAGTGAAACGTGCGCGAATAAATATTCGAAGATTTTCGCGAGAAAATTTGAAAGCAGACTTGGCGAATTTCAAAATACGGTGCCAAAGAAGTGCCCGGAAGTCGACAATGTGTAAAGTCGCAACCAGACTATCTTGTTCCGAGTAAAACAATGATTAATCAAACAGAATTTATTTAATTTTGCCAAAACTTAAAAAATTTACCATCAGGCACAGATTACACGAAAATTAAAAACTTCTGTTAATTTTGTTACACAAAAGTTTAAAATTTATTTTTATTAGCATTCACTCTTGAACAAGCAAACTCTGTGTTTTCACAATTCGAAATACAGTCAGATCCTATAGTGAACCATCTGAGAACCCAGCAATAAGTTCATTATAAATTATGGTTCACTATCATGTAGAAGGAAACCTTAAAGATGTCTGAGGCTGTTAAATTGTTATAAGCAGGCTGCTGCACTATTGGTCAGAGTGAAAATTGACTTGAGTGTGAGTTAGGCTTATATTTTCAAAGTCTTGTTTCTCAGTATTAGCTAACCAATGAATCTTATTACTTTCAGGCTTGAACATTCTAAAGGGGCCTCACTCCACTTAGAACACAAAGCCTCATGCTCTCCTTTTCCTAGCACTTGTGCTTGTTACAAGTCATCTTTTAAACAAATTCATAGAACATTTCTGTCATTATGTTTTAGCTTATAATAAACAGGACTAGGATGCCGATGTGCTAAAATTTCTCATAAAATGCAAAAAAAGTCTCTTCTTCTTGGGCACTACAGCCTATGATAGGCCAAGGCCGTCCAGATAAGTTATTGCCATCTTAATTTATTCTGTACCATGGCCTTCCAGTTAGTTATTCCTATTATCGTTAGGTCCTTTTCAACTGTGTCCAGTCACCTAGTCGGTAGAGGACCCCTTTATTCTTGTACCTTCTGGTTTTAAAAAAGTTTTTTTTGTGGGGTTTTGGTCTTCAGATCTATAAAGGTATCCCAGCCATCAAATGTGATTGGCCTTAATAACATGTCAAAAAAATTAAATAAAAAAGTCTCAAAAAACCATAAAAAAAATTTACCTAAAATAAAAAATAATGCCCTTAAAAAATTTAAAAAGCATGCTTCGTATAAATTTTTTTTAAATTATAAATTGAAACTTGTGTTTATAAAATTAATAATGTATAGCATGAAGAAACAATGCAAATGAATATGTAATTTATAAATAAAATATCGATAAATTCCTGATAAAGGTAACTAAAAATTTATCGATTTTTTATTACAATCTTCAAGAAATTCCATTCCAAAGAATAAATTCCATTAAAAAAACTTTCAATAATTGGTCAATTGCTCAAAAGCAATTTATTTTATCTTGAAAAACTCTATTCAACATCAACACTTGTTATTGGAGGAAATTTAAAATAACAAACACCAATGCAAAATTTACACCAATTTATAAAAGGAAGAAGAAAAATAATCACATAATGCTCTTAAATTAAAAAATATAATGGAAACTTCATGAAAAAAAAATTTAAAAAGGGAAAAAAAAAATCTGAGATATAAAAAAATGAGCAAAAAAAGACATGAACGATTTTCTGTAAAAGAAAAAATAACCAAATATGCAAAAAAGACAGTATGATCTACATCCTAGCCCTGATAATATACTTTAAGTCATAACATAAACATATGTAATTGGGGAAAATTTAAAATAAAAAAATTCAAATCAATATTTATCTTTAATAAAGAAAAAAAATTAATCCATAAACAAATTATTTTCAAAAAAAATGTAAAACATAAAAAAATAACAAACAAANCTTTTAAGACCTCATAGTGGATAAAAAAAAAAAAAAAAAAAAAATCAGGAATAATACCCTATATAAGGAAGAAAAGAAAAACTAAATATGCATTTATCATCCCTGATAATAATTTAAAGTCATAATAGCAAATAACAGGCCACAACTGCAACATGTAATTGTTAATAATTATATTTATACTCATGGCAATTACAAATAATTACATTTGTATACAATAGCATTGACTGCAAAAACTTGATGTGTAATGATGATCTCAGATATAAATAGCTAAATTGCAACATGAATAACTAAAAGAATTTAGTTAAATAAATTAATATATTTTATAAGGAATATCAAACTTTCATAACAATTTCACTCAATTCCTTAGTATTTAACACATAAACACAACTCAGTAAAAAGATTGCCAAGGGGAACCTTATATTATATTTTCCCCTTTGAGTTCACAAAAATTAGGGTTCACACCAGTATGGTGACAATCGGTGCCAAGTGTTCTACAAATGTCACTAAAATAATGTGCATAAGCAACAAATTTGTTGCCTTGAAATATGTTTGAAATTTAAAAAATAGTAAGGAAAAAAAATTTTTTTTTTCACTTATCAAATTCCATGCAATTAAAAAAAAGTTGTACTAATTTTATTGTTCTACTCTTGGTATGGAATTCAAATGGAATAACTGTGAGTGTCTGGTACAAAAACTTTTATATTTAAATGTTTACATTTCAAGCATACATGTTGTGCTGGAAGTATAATTATTCATAAATAAAACAATATTTTTTGCTCACTTAGAATGAACTTTATTTAAAATTTTATAATTTTTACAAGCTCAATTTTTCATATAATAATTTGTTAACTCTTATTTTCTCTGTTTTCTTCATTTACTTATTTAATTGGTTTCAGCATTGAAATATCGTCGTTGAATCCATTTGCTAATATTATTTTTGCTTATTCTTTCGCTTAATTTTAATAAATACTAATCTCCAATCATTATAGGGTAATGAACATAATTAGTTTTAAGGTGTTATAAATATTAATTAATAATTTTTGATATGTAACATAACAAAATTATGTAATTGTAAAGTTCAAGTTTTTTTTCCTCACGTTTATCGACCATAATAAATTTTTGGACTACTATATGCATACCTAGTTGGTCCTATTGGACTATTAAATTTTCATTGCTGGTGTGAACCCTAGAAATAATCAAAATTGTAGTCTTAGCACGCCAAGAATGTTTTATACTTCAATATCTTCAACAGGCTCAATTTTCACAACATCAGTACAAACTACATTTAACGGAAAAGATTTAGCTTTCAGACCTGCATGCCAGCGATAATGTCGGTTAAGGTGACCACTTTGTGTAAAGCTTTTGTGGCAAATGTCACAAATATGTGGCCTTTGATTCGTGTGAGTCAAGTAATGACGATTAAGTTCACCTTTAAAATAGAAACCTTTGTCACATATATCGCAACGATGAGGCCTCACTTTACTATGTGTAACTAAATGTTGACTCAGGCGAGATTTATCAAGGAAACTTTTACCACATTTTTCACATTTAAAAGGCTTTAATTGAGTATGGATCAAACTGTGAGCTTTTAACTGATGTTTTAACCCAAAACCTCGATTACAAATTTCGCAAACATGAGGCCTTTCTTTAGTATGCGTAATCTGATGCCTATCAAGGTTTCGCTTCTCTGCAAAGCACTTGAAACATAGAAGACAAATGAATCGACTCAAATCTTCCTTAGTATCTTTTTCACTTTCACATGGTTTAGATTTTTCCATGTGTATTTGTTGATGTTTCTTCAAATTAGCCCGCTGGCTAAAATTCCTTTCACAAATTTCGCAAGTATAAGGCTTTTCTTTAGTGTGAGTGCGGTAATGTCTTCTAAGATCTCCTTTCACCGGAAAACGTTTGCCACAGACATCGCAAGCATGACGTTTATCTTTAGTGTGAACAAATATATGCCTCCGCAAGTTACTACGATGACCAAAGGTCATATCACAATATGCACAGGCATAAGGCTTGGTGTGAATTTCTTGGTGACTACGTAAAGCTTTATATGAATTGAAACGTTCACCACAGTCATCACATTCAAATATTTGAGGAGCAATGTGGCATAATATGTGCCATTCTAAATCTTTCCTTAGAACACTTTCACCACACACGTGACATTCCTCACGACCATCAGATTTTAGTGATTTATCAGAAAAATCCATTTTATAACTAAAAAAATATACACATTCAAAGTTTTATGAGAGAAAACAACGAAAATAAGAATATTCAAGACCAATAGATCTGAAAAGTGATCAACACAGCTAAAAGTGATCAACAGAAGTGAATATTGATCAAGTGAATAGTGGATCAAAATAAGAACACTTAATCCCAATTATATAAAAACTTGGATAGTGATGGATCATTTAATTATAATATCATAACGGTGTTGATAGTTTTTGATAACAAGCTCAATAACATTATTTCTCTAAAAATAACTATGAATTTAAATTGCATAAAATATTTTGCGTTTCTTACAATTCAAATGGCGATTTCACAAAATAAGACACCAATTTCTATAAACACCAACAAACAGCGAAATCGTACAAGAAGAAAATAGCAAGTTTCAACCGACGATTTAATTTAATAAGCAATAATAATAATAAGAATTTTTCTAGGGATAGTTCAAAACAATACGTATCATGTACTGCAAGCAGACAAAATTAATTTACAAATAGATCATCGTAATAAATTGAAAAAACGGAGAGCCTGAAACGTGACGTTTTTAAACATTCTTAATATGTTTCAAAATAATAAACTGAAAAAACTCGTTGTACGCGTTGATTAAGGAATGTATTTGAAAATGGACTATGTCGATGTCTGGGTGAGCTGACTTAACAAATGATCCATGAAAAAATAATTTGTAACTTTTAATTATTAAACAGCTAAATTTTTTTGAAAATTTAATGATTTCATTAAGTTAATAGAATAACTTTGTCTTAATATAATTTAAATTTTGTTACTTAATGGTGTGAGGACATCTGGACAGAAATAGGTACCTAACGTCATTTTAAGTAAACAATCAAAGCAAGTACGAAAATAAATAATTTTCANTGCTTTGGCGAAAAAGTTTGGTCACACAATCAATATAGGGTTATAAGAAGATTGATGGATGAAAGCTAGCGTCAAGCTCACTCCGCCCAGTTACCAATTCCTAAATTGACCAAATATCAAAAGATGATGATGAAGGAAGAGTCGATCAGAATTGTCTAGGCAAGGCTAAACTCGATCTGCCGCTGACGCTTAGCAGTACAGTACAGCAGTACAGCAGTACACTGCACCTGCAAAAGGGACTGAGCTCACCGCTAGGCGGCACTGAGAGCCGAGGTTAAATCTTTGTTTATTTACATACCTTTCAGTTGCGCCGCTCGTTTTTTCGTCAAATTATTTCAAATGTTCAATACAAATATTTTTTTTTTGTAGTATAAAGAAATTTAGACATAATGTCGTATTGTTGCGTGCCTTTTTGTAAATCATCGAGTAAGAAAAAGACGGAAGAAAAGGTTTCTTTTCACGAGTTTCCATGTGACGCTTCATTAACAGCTTTGTGGTTAAAAACGATTTCTAGAGAGGGTTTTACTCCAAATTTTAATTCATCGTCATCTAAAGTTTGTGGAAAACATTTTAAGGAAAAAGACTTCATTCCAAATAGAAAATTTCGATGCTTGAAGCCGGGTGTTGTTCCCTCAATCTTCCCTGAATATCCACCACATAAACAACCAACTACTGTAAAGAAACGTTTACCAATTAAAAGAAAATTCGTCGAAGACCAGAGAAACTTTTCTGGTGAGTCAACCGTTTCATCCCTTATTGATGCTGAAGAGAATTTTGCTGCCCCTTTCAGTGTAGATGCAAATACCCAAACAAAGATAGAAGGATCAGCATATGACAGTCGAATTCAAGAAATAAAACGTTTAAAAAGATTGCTAAAAAAAAAGAGAAGATACAATAATTCTTCTCAATAAGAAAGTCAACCAACTAGAGAGAAAAGTTAACTACTTCAAAAATAACATTTACTTTTCGACAGTTGAAAAACTCCAAGTTATGAGTGAAGAAGGTTTAAGCAGCAATAATATGGATTTTTTACTGACTCAAATAAAAAACTTTGACAAACAGAAGCCACGTTGGCCAGAAAGTGTTCTACGTGAATGTGTACTTTTGCATGCTGTTTCGCCTAAAGCATATAGGTGGATCATCGAACGCAATGTATTAAAGCTACCATCAAAAGCGACTTTAAGGAGATATATTGGGCCAGCTAGTGGAGATGTGGGATTCACATCATTAATTAAAGATCGCTTATGTGAAGAGGCAAAAAACATACGAAAAGAGGAGAAGTTCTGTTCCTTAATTGTTGACGAAATGTCTTTAAAGCCTCAATGCATATATGATAGCAAAATGGATCAGTTTTTTGGTTGTGTCAATCATATTGAAGATGATTACAAGGAAGAATTGTATATAAATGCTGATAAACTTCTATGTTTTGTTTTATACGGACTTTCAACAAAAATATGCATACCTTGTGCATATTTTTTTACAAAACAGCTCACAGGTCCTGAACTGCACAAATTCACAGAAAGTGTCCTAAAGGAAGTAGAGGAATGTGGTTTTTTTATCATACGAGTTGTAACTGATAATCACAAGACAAATGTTTCTATGATGAAGATATTTGGCGGAGGAGAGGTGAAATTCAGTATCCCTCATCCTTGCAATTCTGAAAGGTTCTTATACTTCAGCTTCGATCCCAACCACATTATTAAAAATTTAAGATCTCTTTTGTTAGAGAAAGAGTTTACAGATGGTAAAGAAATCATATCTGGAAAATTTGTAAAAAAACTATATTACTTGCAGAAAGGCGAAACTATAAAAGCTGTAAGAAATTTAACTTTCAAGCATATTGAGCCTACAAACTTGGAAAAGATGAATGTAAGACGTGCTGTTGCAATTTTTTCACCCCCTGTTGTGGCAGCTCTACAATTTTTGATGGAGAACGAAGTTAGGCACCCGAAAGCCAAAGAATTTAAGCAAGCTGGAGCATCTATATGTTTTATGAAAAATATATTTAAATGGTTTCAACTACATGATATTGGCACAAAAAGTTCCAATAATATCATTAAATTTCCCTTTTTCTCGATGGATGATGATCGACTGAAATGGCTGGAGACAGAATTTCTCGACTATCTCAAATCAATCAAGACAGCTTGTGAAAGACAAAATCCTCCAATGAAATTTCTAACAAAGGAAACTTATGAGGCACTTGTGCTCACAACTAAATCAACTGTATCTTGCACAAAGTATTTATTAGAGAGTGGATACCACTATATATTGACCACTCATTTTAACAGTGATGCTGTTGAATCTTTGTTCAGTAACCTGAGACAAATGAATGGTGGCAATGACATGTTGGATGTGAGGTCCACCATATTCTCACTAGAAAAGATTTTAAAGGTTGGACTCATTACCTCTTCTCCTTATTCAAATGTGGGCCAATTTGGTGCAACTTCAACGATACCAAAGCTGAAAAGTGTACTATCAGTGCCTAATAGGAAGAATATTTTATTACCTTCCCAAATTGAAAATATTTTACATAATCTCTACCAAATACCATCAGTACAGGTAAATTCACTTAAAATGAGTGCATTGGCTTATGTTGCAGGATATATTTTACGTACCATGGAGGCTTATTTTGATTGTGGTGATTGCTTACAACCATTTGTTGGGCCTGAATGTAACACCCCTTTAATTCAGCTCATTAAAAATCAAGACAGGGGAGCATTAAAGAAACCTTCTGCATCTTTTGTATTCTGGTTAGCAACATTACAGAANTGTGTTAACATGTTGACACTTTAATTTTCAATTCATGATTAAATAAACATATGTTAAAAAGTAAACTTCTTACCTGTCAAATTCAAGACCATAAAATTAAACTATCTAATCATATTCTTAATAAATTTTTTCCCATTATGTTGAAAAACTTAGCAAATGTCAACATTACGAGATTAAATGTTTTCAACAAACCTCTTAACAGGAAGGTTCTTAAAATCCACTAAATCAATATAAATAGTGGTGTTTGTTAGTTATTGTTTCTTTTTTATAAAATGTTTCTTATATTTATGGAGAAATTCTGTCTCTAAAAATCTGAAAACACTATAAAATAAAATATTGCATATTTTTTTATAAATTTTTGATGCAATGCAATTTTTGTTCTTATTTTTATATTTCTCTGTTTAAGTATAAAAAAATATATCAGCATATTTGCTATAAATACATATATAATGTTACATTTATGACAAAATAGGAAATAGACTTGTACTTAAGTATTATAGAAACTTAAATATTTTCATATATCAAGAGCAAACATTATAATTATATTTTGTTTAAATTTTTAAATATTATATTTTCATTCACATTTACACCTTTGACTTTTTGTTATAGATAAGTTTTTTTTTTTAAATAATTGATCTGGTTTTGGAGATATTTAATTTGTGTACTCTGTAAAAAACTCATTTATATTGATGATATCTGTCACAATCAAGTTTATTCTGGTGGACAAAATAATTAAAAAATGTAGCATCTTAAATTCATCCTTGAATGTATTTTCTAGTGCCATTGTTCACTATGACTTGTAAATATTGTATAAATAAAATCTTTGGAATTAGTATCATATAGGAAGAATATTTTATTATCACTCATTGAAAATATTCAACATAATCTCTATGAAATACCAACAGCAAAGATTCTACTTCACTAAATAATTATAAATAATCATGTTTGTTTATTATTCTCTCTCTCTCTTTTTTTAATGCAACAAATAATCATTGAAAAATTCTATTAAATCTGGAAACACAGTAAAATATTTTAAAATATGCATATTTTTCAAGATTTAATTTGTAAACTTTTCATAAGGATGATTAGATTAAGGAGTACAAAATTATATTGTCTATGAAAAGAATATTATGGATAAATTAACAAAATGAATTTTCAATTTTTATAATACCTGATTTTAAATATTTATTTCCAGCCAATTTTATTCACAAATTAATTGTTCGTTTCAGAAAAGAAAAAATGATTTTTAATTTATTACACTTGTACAACCAAATTTTAAGCATATCAATTTTAGTCTTTTTTATATATATTTTTAAGAAATTGTTCATCAGTCGTACATATC